TTCCCATCTCGTACGTACGTCTAGAGAACAGCGAGACTGTACGTCACGATCTAGGTAGAGCAAAGAGCAAGAATTGGTAGAGGGAATGGATAGAATCGAGATTGGAAAAGAAGAACGGAGTAAGAACGGGGATGAACAGAGTTTGTGGAATATTTCGTTAATGAATTCTTCCGTACCCGCCTCAGCATTACAAAGACGCCTAATATACGCCTTAACACCGCCATCTTCTTACATGGGCCGAGCCCCTACAGCCTATAACAGACCAAAAGCCCATATCACTCAACACCCAACCGATGTCTTGGTGCTGCTCAGCCACGGATACACATCCTGTCCGTGACAGACGCCCGCGCCTCAGCTACTGGATATGAAGCGTGAAGGCCCAACTGATTTTCCATTGGAATCGTGTCTGCCTCGTGCATGCCGACGACGCTGTCGGCACGCAGCTTCCATCAGCATCGTCGGCGGCGTCGGTGTTCACAGCTCTGTGTCCGCAGTCCGCTCCACGGCTGGGACACATGGACGGTGTCGCCGTGGCGGCTGGCTGTAGGCTGCCGCTGACCACGAAACCGCGCGGTGCTTCCGGCTTCCGCGACGCCCTGTCTGAAATCATGGTGCTGGGTTGGCGTTGCGGGCTCGCGACGCCTGGCTTCTGCTTCTGCGCGTGTAGTCGTGGCCCACGCTTTCGCGACAGACGGAACACCGTTGGTTTCATCGAGCCTTATCGGCAAATAATAGTATTTTCCTCTCATAACAAACCAAGTACCAACCGGGCTTATGAACGAGTTTGTTACATATGTATTCACACATATGTTGCGGATGTATATATTTCAGATGTTTCATCTGTTTGCAGGGCGTATGTTGCATTCAAGTGTTTCATGTTGCATATGCTTCCTGCTGTTCAGAGAGTCAGGGGGCGCGGGGAATGGGGCACGGCAAGCCGGTGGCCGGCGGACGTGGCATGCGGTGCGGTGCGGGCCGGCAATCGGGGGCACGATGGGGCGGGGGTGCGTCTGCGGGGGCAGGGCGAACAAATATATGGGGATGGCGATGGGGTGCGCCTGCGGCGGGGCGAATGGATGGGGATGGGGCGGGTTTCGCGGATGGGGGCGGGTCAGGTATCGGACCAGGCTTATTAGGTGTGGGGGCGGGCGTCCGATATAATTCATCACTACATTGGAGGCCAGTGCGCTAGCATTTCCCCGCAGTAAGCACACGGGTCACGCAAACAATCTCTAGTTCTCCACCAACTCCGAATCATCCTGCTGTATGTCTTGTGGGCCCGGTCAGTTCCTTAGGGTCCAAGGCACCTGAACTTATATTTCTCAGTCAGTCAAGTCAATATCCCAACGGAATAGTCAATAGTACCAGCAACACTAAACCCGGAAGCATTCTAGCTCAACGCTACAAGCAAGCAAGCTCATCGTCTCGAGATCACCAGTCACCGGATGGACCAGAGACGCGCCGGTGCCGGGCGCGCGTACGGCGGGATCGCCGTCCTCCTGACCGCGACCTGCGGCGCGGCCATCCACAGGGCGGCAGCCGCCGGCGACGTCGCCTCCGTGGCTTTCGTTGCCATCAGCTACGCTGCTCTGCTGCTGCTGCACCGCACTCTTGGCGCCTTCTAGACCGCGATCGAGGCGCCGGAAGATGCCGCCGCTGCCGAGTCTGAGAGAGAGCGGTTGAGCGCAGGGTCTGGGCGCTGAGCGCGCTGCTCACCGCGCTGTTCGCGTGGAAGGTCGCCGGGGTGGTGCCGTGGCCCACTGGCGTCCTCGTCTGGACCGCGGCGGCCACGACCTCCGCCGGCGGCTCCTTCGCCCTGGTTCCGCGTCGCCGTCCGTGAATGAATAATCAACGCTACATGCCCATGCATGTAAGGCTTCACTCCAGCGACGACGACGACTCTTTGTTGCATTGCATTGCATCTGGTGCACGCATGATTATAGTACGTTCGTTTTTTGTGTCGGGTAAATTAAGATCAAGCAGCAGGTATGTACGTACGTAGTGCCTGATTAAGCACAAACATATATATAGTATGACTGATCGTCCTTACGTTTATGTGAAATACTTATGTGACATCTTTAGTTAATTAGTTTTTTCCACACAAAAAAAGTTTGCACGTCTTTGTATTAAGATAAAGAGAAAGTTCGATACAACAACACACCTTAGTAGCGTCCTAAGGGTCAGTAAAATTGTACATGACACTCGGCCTCAAATTAATTAGTTTGAGAGAGGAGGAACTGATGCTGGCCAGGACTCCACGGTGTTTCTATGTTGCAGCGTATTTGGCATGGCGATTGATGAATCAGTTTTAAGGCTCTCATATGTTTAGATGAACTGCTAGCTGTGTGTTCTGTTCTGTCTCATTTCCCGTGTCCCAGCAGCTGTGGTACTTTCGAAAATTCAAGTGCTTGACGAGTTACGTTTACCTTTGGCTGGTTATTGCGATCATGTATTCATGTATGTATATGTATGCTTCTCTAGAGTAAACCCTATTTGGGTACAAAGCTTTTGTTTAGGGTTTTAGGGATCGGAAGTACTCTAGAATCTAGGTACATTTTTTAGCGCAACAACAGAGGGGTGCAGCTAGCAGAACAAAGAACTAAAAGTTAATTAACACTCAAAAGGAAATGAAGCTTAGCAAAGTGCAGAAGTTCTACAGAATATACTCTTCGTAGGTTCTGCACAATTATTGGAATTTGATTCTAGAAGTTCAGCAAAAGTGTGCCAGTTGAAACCAGCATAGAAATTAAGTAGATCTAGAGCCAATTCATGACAGTAGGGGCTACAAATATGCCTGCAACCACTACACAAGTTATTTCCTATAACTATGCACGCCGATATAGCAATCCATCATCAACATATTAAAAAAACACATACGCCTCTTATATGCCAACTCAAACCTATGCCATCCAACTCCATGAACCTGAACAAATGGCACCGATAGCAAGTAATATGATGAGCAACCACCACAACTAATAGCCCGTGATATTAGGATAAACATAGAGATCGAATTAACAAGATAGGACACGTTCACTTACACGATAATCACGACGACATGTGTAGTACCGTAGTAGGCCTACACAGCAGTATCCTCATGCCTAGATTGATCCACCGTGGCTAGCTTACCACAGTCACACTTAGGAATGGGTAGTTCAGGAGAGACCGGTGCATCCTTGCAAGACTCGTCATAATAAAGTTCTTTGGGACAACCTCTGTTTTTCCACTTGTTCCTACATACGAGCAATCCATCTTTGCAAACAATTAAATTGAATAGACATACTCTTCACAAATTAAATTGCAACATATATTACTGAGAATTCTAAATGAACAGTGGCATACATGAGTAGTGGAAAATCGTAGTACTAATACCTAATTGGCAAAACTAACTGCTCATAACGGTCATTCATATCCAAGAATTTCAAATCCATATTGTACATTTCATTCAAAATTCAACAACTCTAATCAAACCGGGTTTGCAAAATATACATCACAAACACCACCAAATCAGCGTGTACAAATTGAGGGGAGGGAGGATATAAAGCAACACCACCATCCACGTCGTTGGGACCGCCCAAAATTTAAGAAACAAAACATTCCGTAAACATGCTCGGTCGTAGACGTCCAATGCAATGGAACAACACTTTCTTTATATTCGGTAATATGCATGTGATGCTAGGTCTGATTATTTGCACTCGACCTTAATTCTGATACTGACGCCGGCAACGGTAGAAGCCCCCATGAAGCAGACGCCGGCGCCGGCCCCGACGACGGGCCACGGCACGAGCACGGCGACCCTCCACGAGAACATCGCCGTGAGCGACGTCGTCGTGAGCCAGACGCTGATCTTGGCGCGGCCCCTGGCCGCCGGCGAGCCAGGCGGAGCGGTCTCGAAGAGGCGCAGGAAGTAGAAGAGCAGGACGAGGCTGGCGTACGACGCGGTGACGAAGATCGTCGCGGCAGCGTCTCCCCAAGACCTGTGGATCGCGAGTATCGAGCTCGCTGTGAGGAGAATGAACCCTAGAGCTGTGGCCATCAGTGGCGCCATGTCGACGCTACTATCCTAGGTACGATGAAGGAACAAATGTTCCCGATGGAGGAGCAGGCTGCGTACGTGCTTATTATATAGGATAATAATGGGAGATATACCATGTTGCTCTTTTGTATGCTGAAGATTGTTTGAAAAGGCTATGTTGTTTTCTGCATTAACAAGTGATGTGTATATGCCCTGCTTTTCCATTACATTTACACCGAAGTAATAAGCTGCCCGTCTGTCCATCCCATCCTTAATAAAACGGTAATCGCCGTACTGCCTTCGTTTTCCCATCTCGTACGTACGTCTAGAGAACAGCGAGACTGTACGTCACGATCTAGGTAGAGCAAAGAGCAAGAATTGGTAGAGGAAATGGATAGAATCGAGATTGGAAAAGAAGAACGGAGTAAGAACGGGGATGAACAGAGTTTGTGGAATAGCTCGTTAATGAATTCTTCCGTACCCGTCTCAGCATTACAAGGACGCCTAATATACGCCTTAACACCGCCGTCTTCTTACATGGGCCGAGCCCCTACAGCCTATAACAGACCAAAAGCCCATATCACTCAACACCCAACCGGTGTCTTGGTGCTGCTCAGCCACGGATGCACATCCTGTCCGTGACAGACGCCCGCGCCTCAGCTACTGGTACAAAGGTGCCACGATATGAAGCGTGAAGGCCCAACTGATCTTCCATTGGAATCGTGCATGCCGACGACGCTGTCGGCACGCAGCTTCCATCAGCGTCGGCGGCGGCGTCGGTGTTCATCAACTTTGTTTTCTTTACTGCGCCCAACATCAGTTCGCGTCCATACCCGCGAACCAGGCATATAAACTCAGGTTTCTGCTCGGCGGTTCAGCACAATCGGTTCTGCTCCGATCCCTGATCTCGCTACCGTATGAATGCGCTAGTTCATACTTCATACTGGCCCTCCCTCTGCGCGCGGCGCGGAAGATCGTTCGACTTCACATGGCCGACCGAGGATATTCCACCCTGACCAAGCTAGGCTTGGGCGCCCTGACCTTCAACTCGGCACTCGCCATCTACAACTCCTGGGGCGACGCCGGCTCCGTGGCGTTCATGCTCGCCGCGGACGCCGCGCTCGTGCTGCTCTTCCTCTGCCTCCGTGAGTTTGAGCGGGGCGGCAGGGGCAGGGATGCCAAGATCAAGGCCGCCGTGTGGGCGCTCACCACGCTGCTCACGGCCATGTTCGCCTCGAGGGTGGCGCCGCTCATGCCGCCGCCGGTGGCCGCGGTGGTCTGGCTCTTGGCCGTCGCCACGGCCGCAGGAGGGTTCTGGGCGTTTTTCCTTAATTGATGCTTTTGCAAGTCGATGTCAGTCTGCGTCTCGCTGCCGGGCGTGTTCATTTCTTTTTTTTTTTTTTTTTTTTTTGCTTCCTGCACTTTCTTGTATTGTTTCCCAGTTCGTCACTTTGAATAAAATCTGCCTTCGAGTTTGCGCTGCTGGCAGAGGGTGGTCCTCTGCTTCTAGCCCGTTGACCACCGCTCGTATGCCCTGTTTGTTTGGCGTCGTACTTTTTCAGCCGATGAACACTACAAGACGATGAGTCGCCTCAGCGTGTGCTTGATTTGAGACATGGTAGGATGGAACGGTCTTGTCCCTGATTTTTTAGGTGGACAAACATGTTCTGCGTTTGGTTGAGATATTTTTCGTTTATTCGGTAGAATATGGCCGTGATTCATGGTGCCGAGCTTTGGTCACGTCAACGCCACGTCGACAACCACGTAATTCGTAGCCTCCAACCTCATGACACCAAGACGTGTTACCCCGGTGATGTAGGGCATGGCGTTGAGAAAAGGATCCAAAATTGAATTTACGTCGTCCAGTGGTGTAAACGTGAATTTTGACAAAAAAAGGGGCCAAATTGCAAAAAAAAAAACGGCCGAACAGGGGTATATTCCACTCGAAAATGGTCGCGTCCCTAACAGTCCTCAAACATCTTAAAAATAGGATCAATTCATTCCATCGTCCTCTATTCGTCCATCTCTAGAACCAAACACGTACTAAACGCCGTTCATAAAATGAACCAAATCATATCATATGGCCATATGGGAGTTGAGCTAGAATCGCGGTCAGCTTGATATGAATAGGTACGCGGTTGGTGGACGGTGGCGGCGACGTGGCGCCGCTTCGATCCAGTCGGCTGGCTGTGCCTTTGCACACGTATGGGGCTTTGAATTTGAACACTGCTGCGTTACGATATATAAACGTATGCTAGCGCCAAGGCACATGTTGCTCGTGTGTGCATCAATGCGAGTGAGACGTGGTGGATCGTTGTCCGTACCAGTGTCCTTTCGTCGCTTCCACACGTTCAGCATCCATCCGCCACTAATCTTCTTATATGAAGCATGCCTCCAAAAGCTTGTCAGTCAGCGTGCCACGTGCTTTTTGAAGTTATTCGATCGGGTACGCGGACGGCTCAGATTAAACGAGCCGCAGTTTTTTTTAAAAAAAAAATTCTCGAACTTTAGTCATCCTCTCAGGGGTTTTTTTAAAGCCCTCGACCCTCGATCCAGGCCTCCTCTCAGCTTAGGAACCTCCCGCAGAGGCGCAGCCTCTCCTCCTCCGGCACCGTCCCTTCCTCCGGCCCAAATCCAACGTCCTCGCCCTCCTCGCCCCGAGCTCGCCACGGCCTCGCGCCGCCTGCCCCCGCCGCCGTTGCCGCCCTCGCGTCCCTTCCTCTCTCTCCCTCTCTCCCGACGTGGCGGCGCAACGGGAGGCCCAAAACGCTGCCGCCTCCGCGCGCTGCCTGCGGCCGGAGCCGCCGCGCCCGTACCCCGCCTCCCCCCTGCGCCGGGGTCGCAGGGGCCCTCGCCTGCGCCAGGCCAGCTGGGGCCGCCACGCCCGTGCGCTCCCGCGGCGCCGCCAGCGCAGGGGCCCCTGATGCCGCTCCGGGGTGGACGGGCGCGCCACGTCCGCAGCCCCCGCAGCTCGCACACCCAACCGCGCAAGGGTGGCCGGGGCCGCCGACCCGGGGTCGCCGGACGGCTGCGCCCACGCCCGCTCGCTCGCACCCTCGGGCCAGCCTCCTTACCAAGCCGTCCGTGCCTTCCTCCGCCTGCCGCACCGCTCGCCGACCTCATCCACCTCGCGTAGACACCAGCGAGGCGACGCGTCCCGTGCGGGCGAGCCGAGCGCAGTGTCGCACGAGCGTAGTCCCTGGGGCAGCCGGACGCGGCAGCCGCACACCGGCGAGGTGCCGCAGTGAACCAACCACATCACGGCACGGATATATAGGTCCCCGGCGAGGCGGACGCCACCGCAAACGCGTGCCACCGGCGTGGCCGTGGACCACCGACGAGACGAGCGCGGCGCGGCACTAAGTAGGTACCTCTCTGTTGTCTTGTCGTTGTCGATCCATGTGGATGTGCAAAAGCAGAGTTGAGGTTCCTGTTAGGAGCTCCCTTTCTGCTTGCTGCAGTGCAGCTATGGTGTTTGATGAAATGTGCATGTCAGCAGTTTCACGTTTACGCTGTAAAACTCAACCCTGATGCGATTTCCGTGGTATGGCTGTACGTGATGTAATATTTGTATTTTGTTAACTTATCACCAGAACAAGTAATTATTCGAGAAAAGAAATGATGAACTTCTGTTGCAAAAAGTAATATTCAGTGTTACTAATCAATGTAGCATTCACACTTCTAGAATAGCTTGCTGCAAAAAAAGTGATGAGTACTTAGTCCCATCTCAGTGTTCTCGATTAAAGCATACATGCAAAGTTAATCTCGATTTCTATGACTCTTATTCTAATTTTGGATATGATGGTCTGATGAGTTTTGTTTATAATGTTCAACTACAGCAACTTAAATGGGTTGGCAAGCCTTTGATCATTACATCTGTAAAAAAACCTGAACTGTGGATTTGTTTAATGTGAAAGTATGATTTTGATTTGGTTGTAGAATTTGGAAAATTTTGTTCCTCCACCATTAGATGGATTAACCTGATCTGTTTCTGCATATCAGTAACAGTAACCATATGTGAATGTAGAGAGAAAAATACAGTAATGTTGTTGTCGTGGCTCCTCTGTTCCATTAACTAAACAAAGCACAAAAATATATGCTCCTTGTTTAGAATCTAGATAGTGGATCCATTTTATTTCCACTCTTGGAACTACACCATTTCTTTCGCTCATCCACAAGATCAGCCAGCTGAAGTCTCAGCAATATGCAAGGAACCTAATATGTTCAGAATCTGCTTTGGCTCACCGTGTGCTGCAGATTTGGTGCAGATGTGCAGCTCGATCCGCCTGCCTCACGTGGAGAAGAGGGCCACACGGCGGGGAGCACTTCAGGAGCGAGCTGCTGTTGCTGCCACAACCATTCTGGTCTATGGACAACCCAACGAGGAAAACAGAGACCAGGAGAAAAAGAGAGAAATGGCTTCTATGTCCTTGTATTCATGCCAGCGGAGTCGGGAGTCCAGCTGCTGTGAATTGCAAGGAGCAACAAAGGATAGGGCGAGAGAAGCTGCCCGGCAGGTGCCAAATGCTCAAATTCCTGAACTCATTTTACTCTCTAAGTAAAATACCTTTCCGAAATTTGACAAATATGTATAGTGAGATTTAGGTGCTCATTTTTGACTGAATGCACAAATGGTATCGGTTTCAAGTTTTCAGTTTCTAAACAGACTAAGTTTCATAGTGATGCTATCCTATGATCATATTAGAAAACTATTTCACATAAATCCTCTGCACATATATAATGCTAATAGCCCTACTTATTATAACAAAAAAAGCTACTGAATATATTAAGTTAATTTTTATCTTAACGATAATCCTTTCAACTTCTTACTTCAGTACTTAAGTTCATAGTATCAGAACACAGTGCACATTCAAAAAATTATTAGGTTAACTTACAAATACCTCATAATTTCATATTTGTGCTAGTATTAGATGAATATATAACAAACATAATGGTATCTACTAAGCTTGATACAGCCGGTTCCGTAATGGGGCACACCATGCTGCTGTACTGCAACAGCAACGCTGCTGCGTTATAGTCTTCTTATAGGAATCCTGCACCCAAACCGCGGGCATCCGATAGTGCCACGTCACCCGCTAACCCGCTAGCCGTTGGATCAAGCGATCAGGTGATCTGGTCCGTCCGATTGCGGGTCGGTTCGGGCGTCGACCCGTAAAGTAGCGAATATTCCCGAGATTTGCCCGTCGTGTAGAGGAGAGAGTCGCCGAGGTCAGCGGGCGCAAACGCGCTTCGACCCAGCCACTCGCCGCCCAAGACCTCCTCCTCCTCCTCCGGGCGCGGCGCAGCCAACCCAGCCAGCAGCGAGATCACAGATGCTGCGGCGTGGGGTTCCCGCCATCCGGCGCCGGTGGGGCCCCAGAGGCACCGGCGACCCCGCGCGCGTGGCGCGTGGCGCGCGCGTGCCTTGGCGCTTTGGCCGGGTCCCAACCATCCCACATGGGCGGGGCCCCAGCTGCCCTTGCGACTGGTCGCGGCAGCCGCGTCGCGGCGTGGCTGCTGCGGCCACCCCGGAGCGGGCGGCGGGCGCAGGCATGGCGGCTGCGGCCACCCCGGCGCGGGCGTGGGGCTCGAGAGCTGCAGTCCCGCCAATCTGGTAAGCCGCCGCACACTCGGAGGGGAGTGAGGATGCCTCGGCCGGAGTTCCAGGCAGCGCCGGATGTGTTCTACAACGAGTCGGAGGTCCCCAAGTACACCACCTCCTCCCGTATCATCGAAATCCAGGTGAGCAAGCGAAGTGCCTCCCCGCTTGATTTGAGCTTTGCCGATTTTCACATGGCCGGGCGCCAAGTGACATGGCTTCTTTTAGTCTAGGATTTCGAGAGGGCGCCTGGAGCTGCTCGCTCTTCCCAACGATGGCGTCCCCAAGCTGCTTCTCGACATAGGTCAGCTTACTCTCTTCTGCAGCTACCGCTTCATGAATCATGGCATATCGCGTTGACTAGAACAACAGAAAAGTATTCTCCTTTGACGGGGCAAAAATACATGCTGTGGGAGCTCTTTATTGCAATTGGTTATGGCAATTGAAAGACATCTATGTTTGAAGATATGCTTACCTACGATGACTGTGTGCTGTAATTTCTAGGATGTGGTTCTGGGCTTAGTGGTGAGACATTGATGGAGCATGGCCACCACTGGATTGGCTATGATATTTCAAAGTCGATGCTCGGTGAGGACCTCTCTATGTTCCTTTCTCTTGGCTTGTTTAGCACCAATTAGAAAGGGAAGTGGGAGTTTAGAGGAGGGGAGCTTTCTAGATATCTTGCTCTGGTACGTGCATCCTTTTTTAGAATTTCACTTTTTTGCACAGATGTTGCCTTGCTCATGTAAGAGTCCGCGTCACGGCGTGCAGTGTAAGTGGTTTTGGTGCTTTGCATCTCCGTTGTGCCCATATGCGAGCTCCTACGCCGCGAGCACCGGCCAGCTCCTCAGCGGTTAGAGTGGGGTCCAACTCCTCAGCGGCCAGAGTGGTGTCCATGGACGATTCCCAGCTGCTGCTCGAAATTATTCCTCCAAGGTAGGTGTGCATTGAGCCACTGAATAATCAGCGTTTCTGATAGTATTTGATCAGCAATCCATGAGCTTAAACATGAACATTCTGTTGTCTTTCTATCATGCAGGATTGCATCGATCAAGATAATTATCAGAATGCATGGATAAGTGCTAATATTTACTGAAATAGTTGTATCCCATGTGTACTAACTATACATGTACATATATGGTAATTTAAAATTCATATTACTGGTAGAAGTTCAAAGATCTGCAGTGGCTTACTTCATTTCATAAAACTGGAATGTCTTGTCTTTGTCGCCTGCCCTAATTAAAAAATTTATAGAATGACACTTTTCAGATATTAGAGCATGGCATTTCAGTATGTTTAGCAAAACCATCCAACTACTCCATTCAGGATTCTTACACATCACAGATTAGTAGTGCTACTTTTGTTCTTCCGATGTGTGATGACTTGCAGGTATCTACAACGAAATTATTTAAGTGGGTACGTCCTTTTTAGAATTTAGCGATTTGGTACAAGTGGTTCAGTTACAACAGGTATTGGCAGCCGTTCACAATCAGGTATACTGCTGCGACAAGACAGTAGTTGTTTCAATCTCAATGCGCATGGTTCTTTTTTTATATGTCAAATTCAGTTGTTTTCCCCAAGCTGAGTAGTTATATATGAATGTGAAAGATTAACTAATGGTGTTTAGTAAACTCCTCTTTATTATCTTTGATGATAAATGTGTTTATCAAATATTTTTTCATAGTAACGACTTTATACTGCTGGAACAAGACAGTGGTTTTTTCAATCTCGATGCGCATGGTTCTTTTTTTTATATGTCAAATTCAGTTCTTTTCCCCAAGCATCAGTCAGTTCATCACCAACAAAGCAGCCGACAGAGAATGAACAAATGGTCAATGAGATGCTTCATGAGGATGCCAGTGCTTTCGCTGGCAGGTCTGATAGTGCTAGTACTGCTGAGGAGTTCCAGAAGAAAGTGAGAGAAACCATGGAGAAAGCTTTTTGGGATATGGTCACCAACTCCATGAGAGGAGAAAGACCTGATTATAGTCAACTGATCAACCTAGTAAAGGAAGTGAGGGATTCGTTGCATGACCTGGCTCCAAAAGAATGGAAGGAGAAAAAATCTTGAGAACATTGACCTTGAAATTCTGTCTCAGGTACTTGGGTCAGGTTCCCAGGATGCACAATACTAGGGGCAGATTTTGCCATTGATACTAGAGTTTGATATTGGAGGAGAGTTTTGTCCTTGTCTATGTTCCTTTAATAAGTGTCTAATATTAAGATAAATAAAATTCCAGAGCCACCTTTGTCAGATAGATGGGGAGAAAGCATGTTCTCTTTGTAAAACAGAAATGTGTTGAAGCGAAGGAGCACACGATCTTACTCTATTTCTTTAATCATTTTGTTTTCTAAATTGCATTTATAATCATTATTCAGCCACTTAAATTAAATTTCTGGGCAGAGCACAAATATTTTCTCCAATTCATAATTATCCTTTCATCAATGTACATTTAAATAGTATCATTTTGTTTTTGTTTTCCCTCTTTCCATGCTACTGCATACTATGGATCTCATCATTCATTAAAAGGTTATACAAGACATTTTTGTACTGGGTCACTGAAACAAACTTAGCGATGCATACTTATGCATGGCCTCAGCTTTTATGACAATATCTGTGAGATATGCTTAGTTTCAGAAAATATTGTTCTCCTATAAAACTATGAAGTTACAAAACTTTTATATGGACATTAGCACTTAAAAGTATTGATGCATTGCTATATTGAATTGTATCCCATAGATAGATTTGCTACTTGGCACATTTATATGACCACCTCAAATTTTTACATGATGAGATTGCTACATATCAATGTATATATGTGCATGCAAATTTAGGTACGACACACTTGGATCAAGTTGAGGAAATATTTTAACTCTTGATTGTGCTATTGCTGTAGACATCACCCATGACTCCATATATTACTGATGGGCAATCTCGTAGCTCAACCTTTTGCAATAATAATGGTATAAAAAAAACTACACCGGTGAACTCCAAGGATGGTGCGGCAGTGTATTAATCAAAGCTTCAACTTCCAATTGTAGGTGATACATACCTATAAGACTTCAATGACAAAAAATCGAACACCAAAGACATGGACGAAACAGACGACATTAACTTCCAATTGCAGATGATACATACATAGCAACCAAAATACACAGGTCATCTTAGGTTGGCGCGGCAACGTCTGCGCCACAGTTTCTAGTAAATGACTAAAGCATAAATATCTTTCCTTGGCTTGATGAAAAAAAGAAAAAAAAATTATGTAGCCTCCCTTGACTATTGCATGGGTCCTATTTGCCTCGCTCAATTAGAAACTGGATTTTTAGACTCTTCTAAATTAAATCGTCCGGTTTATCTCCTGGGCTGTTTTAAAATGGTTTTTGAATAAATTAGACGGTTTCAGAAGTTAGAATTAAAAGAGTCTAAAAATTCTGATGTTTTAATTGAGAGAAGTGAATCGGATTCACACAATATATAATCTAAGAGCATCTCCGAGAGTTACCTAAATTTTTCTCCTAAAAACTCCATGTTTTTAAACTCTTAAAAATGTATTTGGAGAAAAAAAGAAGTCAATCTCCAATGGTATCTAATATTTCACTCTAAAAAAAATCAGAATTTGGTCCGCTTTTTTTTGTGGTCTTTTTTTTTCCGTGCGAAACTCTTTGTGCTTGCGCATACCCACGCCGCCGCCGCCTTCTTCCTTCATCATGCCCTAGTCCTGCTGTTCCAGCCGGTGGCAGGCAGGCACCCGGCCACCCGGCCCAGCTCTCGCTCCAGCACCTCCCAGCTGGCCATCTAGTAGTAGCAGTAGCAGCTAGCCATCAGCAGCAGCCGGCCATGTAGTAGCAGTAGCATTCAGCAACAGTAGCATGCAAGCAAAGCCGGCCGGTAGCAGGAGCAGCCGCCCAGCAGCACTTCAGTTTCTCCTCGACAGGCCACAGCCGCGCCTAGTATCACGATGGTGACCACCAAATAACGCATCTGTACCAACAGCAATGGCAGCCGCCGAGAAGTCCTGGCCCCTCAGCAAGGTCACCGATGGCGCCCACTGGGACGCCGAGGACATCTTCGGGCACCTGTGCATCGTGGCCGACGCCGCTTTCCTCTCCGCTGGCTTCTTGCCGTGCGACGCGCGGCCAGAAACGACGCCCTGGTCTGTACGACGCTTTCCTCTCGGGCGGCATGGACGACGCGGCGGCAACAAAAAAAAACCATCGGCCATGGCAAGAAGCAAAGATCGATGGATTACGTTCCTCCTCCAGTCGTCCCAAGGTCAGTGGTGGCGACGACAGCCTCCCCTGGACGGGGCGCTTTGGCGCGAAGAAGATGAGTCGTGCCAGAAACTACCGCGCCAAAGGAGGAGAAAACGCGGGGAAGAGGATACGCGCGACGGAGAGTGCGCGTAACTTTACGCAGATGTGGGTTTTTTTCCCCAAGTACTAAAAGTTTAGGAAGATATATTAGGAGCTGTTGGAGAGGATTTTCTTTTCTCATCTTACTAAAAATAAGGATTAGGAAGAGGAATAGGGAATTCCTGGAGATGCTCTAAGGATCCGAGGTCAAACGAACTTTTTCGTGAAAAATAACAGCATTGGACCTATAATGGATTCCAGTCTGTAGAAGGTGGTGGATCGAGAGCTTATGTCCGGTTGACCCAAAAGCCCAATAAACACTAGCTTCAAAGAGGCCCACGATCGTCGTCCCTCGAAGGAAGGAGCGGAAAACAAGGCCCACGTGTAGCTGAGGGTGCCGCGGCAGTCTTTGCTGGGCCAGACCGATAATAATGTTGTAATTAGGGTCCCTCCTTTATCCTTTTCCCTTTTTGAAATTATTTGTTATAGATAATAAAAGAAAAAAAGAAGACAAAATCATTACAGGCTTGAATTAAAGGAAAAAAAACTAGGTTCTTTGCCTTCCAATACAAGCAAGGTAGGTAGCGTGTGCGTGTCCCCCGTGATCCCGTCTCTCTCTCTCTTCACGCTTTCATTCACGACCTTCACACGAGTCACGAGCAGACAATCTTGTACACCTGCGTGCAAGCTGTCGTCTTAGAATGGAGGACCAGAGGCAGAGAGTCGCCGGCGTGGACGCCGCAGGCGGCGGGAGCGACGCGGGCTCCGTGGCGTTCCTGCTCGCCGCTGACGCGGTGACGCCACTCTCGTGCTGCTCTTCCTCTGCCTCCGCAGGTTCGAACGGGCCCGCGGCGGGGGCAGGATCAACATGGGCATGGGCGGGCAATACTCCGCGCTGGCCAAACTGGGCCTCGCCGTGCTGACGAGCAACACGGCGATCGACACTTATGACGCCCGGCGCGACCCGGTCTCGGCGGCGTTCGTGTTCCTGTCGTACGCCGTCCTTGTGATTCTGACGGCCCATTTCGTCCGTGCATTCGCCCACGCTCACGCTGGTGAGCCGGGGCAGGAGGACTAGAGCAGCTAGCCAGCGGGTGGCGTGGCTGATGCCTCCCGGCCGTGGCGCGCTCGTGTGGGCGATTTGATGGCGGTCGCCACGGGCACCGCTGGGTTCTGGGCATTCTTCCTGAACAATCCGTATTTGTGTCTCAGTCTGAGTCCGTATTTCCATTTGCGTATCGGAAGCGTAGGTTTCCTCGTGTCGTGTGTGTATGTCCCGCCGGAATTTGCTTGTTTCGTCACTCGTCAGTTTATTTGCAATAAATTCGGTCTCTGTTGCCTGTACTGTACCGTTCACTGATGACCGACCGAGGGTTCGTACGCCAGCCTCGTCCTGCTCTTCTATTGCGAGACGTCGCATGCAGGCTCCGCGCCCAGGGCTGGCGGTTGCAGTTAAGGATGGCAACGGGGATATACCCGTCGGGTATCGTCGGAACGTTCTCTTCCCCGCTACGAAGAAATCATCCCATCTCCGTCCCTGTTAACTGTCTCGGGTATAGATTCTTGCCCATCCCCGTACCCGTCGGGCATCGGGCGGGTAACAAATACCCGACGGGTACTGCATACCCGATAAACGAGGACACTTGGGGTCGCAGCTTTGCAATCGGAGACGTTTCTTCTTCACCCGGGTATAAGTGTCGGATTCTCGGAGATGTCGAGGAGAAGGAGCGAGGTTGCGAGGAGGACGAGCAAATGTGGCAGAGGGACCTAACTGAGGAAGCGAGGGGCACGAGCGCTCGTGAGGCAGGCGTGCTTGTGCTGCTGGCGGAGATGGTGAGAAAAAATTGAACTAGGATTCCTAGAACACACAAACTATATATATGATTGTTCAGATTTGGGCTAAAATACCTATGTTGAGCTTCTTTGGGCCTAATACTCGCATGACAGCTCAAATAGTCGGGTTCCCCAACGGGTAACGGGGACGGGTAAACAGGGAACGTTCCCGTACCCGCTATACCCATCGGGTATGGATTCTTGCCCATTTAGATGCCCACGGATAAAGATATGATTCCATCCCCGTCTCCTAATGGATCAAATACCCGTCGGATATCGGGTATCGGGGGGCCGTTGTCATCTTTAGTTGCAGTTGCAGGAGGGCGTGGTGGTTGATGCTTGTGCATCTATAGGCTCCGAACTCCCTGCGAGGAAAGCAGGGGAAGCGCGTGCTGCGCCCGCTGACCAGCAGCCGCCACTCACCTTTGTCGTCAGTGCCTGTTCGCCAAGGCCCAAGGAGGAATGGCACCTCACGCGTTTTTGGGAAGGGCAAGTTGCTTCGAATGTCACGATCGAGCAGCCGTGGACACTGGTATACTACGAAAATATAAATTTATGAAGAATTATGAAGATTATAGAGAAAATATAATTAATGATGTCAAAATTATAGAAAAAATTATAAAGATTTATGACATCAAATAAGTATACTATGAAAATATAATTAATGAGAAATCTAATAATACTTAGTTGACATCATAAATATTATTATTTTATTATATAAATTTAGTCAAACCTAAAATACTTTGACTCTCTAATATTCTCGGAATGACTTGTAATTTAGGATGGAGGGAGAAAAAAAACTTGCAATAAAGGCAGTTGACGTTGACTGCATGTTTGTCTAGATTCTAGAGAATTCGGGAGGTCTTTGGACTTTTGAGCCTTGCGAGAGAAGACACGCAGGTTGCTGACGTCGGCGAAAAGCGCTAGTTTACGTAACTGATGAGTGGTTCGAACCGGTAGAGAGGTGCAAAAGAAATTCGAAAACCGAACACGAACAGGCTTAAACAAGATTTATGTCGGGGCGAGTAGTCAGCGAACCTTCACTGAATTAGAATAGATCGTACGATGAAATAATCTATCTTCTATCTACCCTACTACTAAATCCGGAGCGGCCCACGTGCTTTGAAGACCTTCATTGATGCTAGCCTGGGCATAAGGGGCGAAGGAGTCCTTCTGAGGCCCATCCGGGACTTTGGGCTTGTGGTAGGCAGCCCGGTTGCTGCTGGGGAGGGAACCACATCGGATGTCTGGGACATCATGGAGTTTGAGCTCGCTAGGCCATCCGCGGGATCTGGCCCTGTTGGGGGCGCTCTATCGCCGCAAGGATCGTCGGCCTCCACGCTGGTGGCTCTGACGCCGCCTGGATCTTCCGCCGCCGCGCTGGTGGATGAAATTGAAGCTCGGGTTTGCATCCCTCTGCAATCGCCCATCATCAAGGCGGGGCCGAGGCTCAGGAAGTCACGCCCGCCCGCCACCGTGCCGTCGATCAGACATAGCAATCGGCTGGCGGCCAAGCCTCGTGCAGCTAATGCAACGCTGCAAGCACAGTCGGTGCTAATGCAGAAACTTGGAGTAACGACTGACATCCTGCAGGCTGACATGGAGGCCTTCGAGAATTACTTGGCGACCTTTGCGGACCCGCTGACACCATCCAAGCATGAGGCGCTCCAGATGCTATTCTCTCCCGACTTCAACCCCGTGGCCATGAACTTGAACTTGGCCGAGCTGGAGGGGGAGGTGATGTAGTCGGGATTAGGGGCCTGATCAGTCGCTTAATTTGTTGTCAATGTCATCGGACAACTGCTTTGTTTGGAATGTGCGCGGTCTGAACGGTCGCGACTGTCGCAATGTCGTTAGGGACTTGGTTTCCCAGGAACGTGCCACGCTTGTCTATCTGCAGGAGACTAAACTCTCCACCATTTGTAATCCTCTGGCTAATGAAATCCTAAGAAGTATGTTCGACTATGATTATCTCCCTTCGCTGAATGTTGCGGGGGGGGGGGTATTTTTGTTGGGGTGGCATCGGGATCATTGGGTTGTGTCCGATGTGGACAAACGTCGTTTCTCCCTCTCGGCCAAGGTGGCAAGGGCGGCCGTGCCACAAGAGTGCTGGTGGATCACTGTGGTCTACGGGCCGCTGGTTGACCAAGACAAGGTTGAGTTCCTTGAGGAATTGCTGCATTTCAGGAACTCGGCCGCAGGACCATGGATGCTCTGCGGTGACTTTAACGTGATCTATAGGGCGGAGGACAAGAGCAATGATCGTCTGGACCGTCGCTGCATGCGTCGCTTCCGGGTGTTCCTTGATGCTGCTGAGCTCGAGGAGCTCCATCTGATTGGCAGGCGCTTCACCTGGTCCAGTGAGAGGGACCAACCCACTTTGGAACGGCTGGACCGCCACTTCGCCTCTACGGGATGGTTGGAGGCGCATCCAAATCATGTGCTCAGGGCACTTTCCATTGACTGCTCCAATCACTGTCCCCTTCTGTTGTCGATGAATGTGCTGCCCTGGGCAAAAAAGAGGTTCCGGTTTGACCCGTACTGGCTGAAACTTCCAGGTTTCTTGGAGGTCGTCGCCACGGCTTGGTCGCCAACGCTCCTACATGCTAACCCATTCCGTGTCCTTGATTATAAGCTCAGAAATGTTGCTAGGGCGTTGCGGTTGGAGTGATAAGAAGATCGGAAGTGTTCGGTTGCAGTTAGCTTTGGCAAGGGAGGTAATCCTACGTCTGTAAGTGGCGCAGGACTCCAGGACACTCACGGCGCAAGAGTCGCTGCTGCGCAAGTCATTGAAAGTCCGTGTGCTTGGTTTGGCATCCTTGCACGATGGCCAAACAGCGCTCCAGAATGTTGTTCCTCGCTGAGGGCGATGCCAATACCTAGTTCTTCCACCTTATGGCTTGCCATAGAAAACGCAGGAACTATATCTGGTCTCTTCAGGTGCGCGGCAATGAGGTGGTCCGAGAAGAGGCAATGGTGGAGGAGTTATTTCAGTACTATGATCAGGTCCTGGGCGCCGCCTTTGCTCGCTCTCGGAGGCTCGACCTCGGTCTCATTGGGCTGCACTCGGTGGACCTATCGAGCCTAGAGGTGTACTTTACTGAGACCGAAATCTGGTCGGTGATATCTAAAATGCCGAACAACAAGGCGGCGGGTCCGGATGGATTCACGGGCGTCTTCTACAAGAAGGCTTGGCCCATAATTAAGCAGGACATCTTGAATGCTTTCAACGCGTTCTGGTCTCACGACACCAAAAGCCTTTACTTGCTTAATGACGCATACATGATCCTACTGAGAAAGAAGGAGCAGCCGGAAGAGATCAAAGACTATCGCCCTATTAGTCTCATCCATAGCTTTGGGAAGCTGATCACTAAATGCCTGGCAAAAAGGCTGGCAAGGGTGTTGGACAGCATGGTTCGGCCGAACCAAACAGCTTTCATCAGAGGTCGTTGCATTCACGACAACTTCCAGATGGTGCGCCTGTCTTGCAACGCGATCCATGACAAGCGCGCTCCCTGTGTACTGCTCAAGATCGATATTGCCAAGGCGTTTGACTTTTTTGCATGGAACTTCTTGCTTGAGGTATTGGCGCACCTAGGATTCGACCGGCGTTGGAGGGACCGAATTTCCAGCATCCTGTCCACGGCCAGCACTAAGATTCTTCTCAATGGCCGACCAGGGAGAAGAATCTGCCATGCTCGGGGGCTACGCCAGGTGTATCCGCTTTCGCCAATGCTTTTTGTGCTGGTCATGGAGGTGCTCAACCATCTCGTTTGTTGGCTGGATACTCAGGGCTTCCTAACGCCTTTGGGGATCGCGGCATTGCCGTTTAGGGTCATCCTCTACGCCGACGATGTCATCTTGTTCGTCGCTCCCAGAATTGATGACCTTCTGGTCATAAAGGCGGCGGTGGATTTGTTCGGCTTGGCTTCTGGTCTGTTGTCCATCATGGATAAGAGTGTGGCTACACCAATTGGGTGCTCCGAGCAGGAGATGATGGACTGGTGCGGGATGCTCACGTAGGTGTAAGGTAGAGAATTTCCCATGTCGCTATCTCTGGGGATTCCTCTCTCCATTTACAGAGTCAGAAGGGCGGATGAATAAAGGCTGGTGGACTCTGTTGCTTCCAGAATTCCACACTGGAAGGGAAAGTTACTGTTTGTGGCTGGGAGGACGGCCTTGGTCAAGGCTACGCTTTCGGCGATTCCAGTCCACATGGTTATTATTGTGTGTCTCGCCCAGTGG